AATCTCTGGCCTTGCACTTGAACGAACTTCCTGCGGTACCCGACCAATACCTCTCGAAATTCATCATATCGTGGATCCCCTGCATACCTACCTACACTTGTTAGACTGAGTGCTGGCGCGGCCACACGAGTGCCAAAGGAGCTGTATTTGCAGGGCCCCCTCATAACAAAGACATGAAGTTGAGGTTTCTCATGTTCGCGTGCCTCTTTATTAAAAGAATCGAAGAAGGTTCTTTGAGAACTCACCATATGCAATATGGCTCCATGGACAAGCCGATTTGGAAATACATCTGAAACAATTTTGTGAAAAGGTTCCTCTCAATCAAAAGACCCAGGAGAATCCTCAACGGCAGAAAATTCCCAAGAAATTCTGTACTCAAACTTAGCCGTCGTGCGTGACGTGATGCTGTGATCTCACCATGCCCCCACACGTTTTCACAAGAGCATGATTGGATCATGTGTCTTTCTTGGCAGCTCCAGCATCCAGGAGCTTCAAGGCACGAAGACGCTCCACCTCACGAGGATGTGACTGACTTCAAGTAGAGAGGAATCGTAGAACTCGTCTGGGAGGCCGGACCAACGGCGGGTGCGAGAAGTGGTACCAAGAGTAGAGGGGATCTGGATTCAAGTCCCCCTGCCAGATCATCAGGCCAGACCCAGCATGCAAACCGTTCAACTTGCCTTGTTCTCCTCGTGGATCTGAAACAAACCACTCCTGCAGTGAATGCGTGAGCATATGTGAGCATTTGTGTGAGTCATATCCGCATGTAGCTGAAGGTGCCAGCCGCGCAAGAACCCTGCTTGAGCGCGCAACTGCAGCGCGTCTGATCTGCCCATCTTGGCAGCAAAACTGTCTGCCTGGAGATCTCTTGAGTGACATAGTCATGTCCGAGCAGACATTGGCACAGAACAGCCGAATACAGCCACCTGGAACTCATTGCGGCGACTTCGCCTGAAAGTATTGCTTACATGCACGATGCACGCGCAAGTCGTCACGAGAGCAAGGATGTAGCTAGGCAGCTAAGCCCCTAGCATAGTCATAAACAGGTTCATCAACTGCTCTGTCGGGCTTACCAACCTGCTCGGCAGATGTAATTGGCGATGGTGCGGCAGGTCTTGCTGATGATAGCATAATAACATGTCGGTTGCACAGCATGAAAAGCATGAGAGAGACCTGACATATGCGCTTCTCTGTGTTTGGTCTCTCACTGCCGTGTCCTGAGTGTCCCATAAGGCACAAACCATGACTGCATTCGCTTCACCGTACCCAAACTGTTTGGTCATCTGTTTGGAGACCTCGCCGGGGCTATCGCCAGGAGGTTTTGAGAACGAATCTGTGCCTCACGTGTGCCTCCGAGTACATTACCAAATCGAAGAGCCAGAACAGCACAAAAATGTGCACCTCAATATAGGCACCATGGAAGGACAGCAGCTTGGACAATGCTCCATGAAAAGCGACGCTCTGCCGAGGCTTCAGAATTATTGTTTTTCCAAATTGAACCCTACCAGGCTCTGCGCCTTTTCCAAGCATGCAAAGTTTTGAGCGTTCACAAAAGCCTACTGAAATATTGCACTGGTAGTGCAAATCAGTTGTGGAGAAAGGAACTTCCTCCAAAAACAAACGCACACACACACACACACACGCACAGGGAACAATTTTCATGAACTTCCTCTTGTAGCAGAAGCCCGTTGTGACGACGACTAGATTAAAATGATTAAGCTTTGAGACACTGAAGCAACCTTTCTCTGTTACATAGAAGTCTGTTGATTGTGGATTCTCTCAGCTAAATGATCTGAGCGCAGGAGGTTCGAAACTCAGCTGAGAAACCCAGTGGACCCTAAACATGAAGTTTCTGAAACAGCACGTCTACTTTGACCACGGGCGTGCGTGCCTTCTACGTAAACACGTACGGTTGTCAGCGCAGGTAACATGAAACGAACAAAAACTCACAAGCTTGGTGCACCACACAAACTCACTTCTGCATGCAGCCTTTGTCCAATGCAACACCCAACGGCGATGGTTTGGACATCAAAGGAGCCCAGGCTGGCAACACTGTGCGCTCAAGAAGTGCGTCAGGTCCTTCCTCGCGGATGCAAAAAAATTCTGTGGGCTCCTCGGAAGCTCTTCAAGTTCCGTCTCGGCATGTTTAACAAGTCCCAGCTAGAATGTCCAAAGTCCGGCCGCCTCACTGTGCAAACTGAGCCATGGTTCAACACCTGTTTAAAGACCGAGTTTATGTGCTGTTGTGGGACACCTTGCCGTCACGTATGCACTAGCCTTGGCCGTTCCGATTTTCATTTTCGCTCATGCCTGTCACTGTTGGTCCTCTAAATCTGCGGCCTGGAGAACAAGGACTGGGAACAGGGACAAGGTACAGCAACATACAGCATCCCTCCGAGCAACGGGGCAAGAGTCTCAAGCTGGCAACAATAACCTAAAATACCTTCCATCCTTGAACTTGAGCTCAAGCTGAGGCGAACACAGATGCTATCACCAGATTGGTCAGCGTATGGCCAAACTTCCAGTGACCTGCTTTTACGAGCCAACAGTCCTAATCCAGCAGACACAGGCTGCCTGCCTAGCTCATGACATAGTATGGCCAAGATGTCATCGTGCTTCAGATGTAGCCTGCAGCGTGTTGCACAGATGCATGAGGCTCGACTGGAAGCGCAGCAATCAAGGCAAGCACAAGGTGTCGTATAGAACAATGCGCTTGTACCTGATGAACGACATGGATGTGAGCAAGCACTTGCAAGCTGTATGTGGGCACTTCCAAAAGCCGAAGAAATATGCATTGCTGTGGCCAGACCTGCCGGTGTACACCAGGCACATAACTCTTGTCACGCTTCGCTGCAAAAACGAGGACGGTGGGCCGTTTGGAGCCATCAACCTCAAAGAGCTTCGTCAAGGGAAACTGCACCTGCTCGCCGCATCGTGTCGGCATGCGCCGCACCGATGTTCCCGACATTCTCTGAGGACTGCTATTTTTGCATGTCGCCAAGTTGGCGCCCACGCTCAGCCCGTGACTCCGGCAACCCGTGCTTGGAAAGAGTACGCTTGACACTCGTACTGGACTTCCAATGCGCAGATCATCGTAGATCAAAAGCCTCGGCAGCCAAAGCCTCAATCTTCTCCTTGAGAGACTCGTCCTGTCGTTGGCAGTCGGGTGCCCTCCAAGTCTTCAGGTTTGCAGAACGGTTTACATGTGGCTGCCTGCAGCTGTCTGAACTCATTGAAAAGAGGTTGGATGAAGTTTGGATAGAGCCACATGAAGGCTAGCCTCAGCTCGCAGCACATGTGCAATGCCGCAAAACGGGTGTGAAGCTTAAGGGCCAGTCATCAGAACTTGCATGAACGCCCACAGGTAAAGATAAAAGCCTGACCGCACAGGGGGGCCCTCAGAGGCCAAATCTCAGCTATGGGTACACGTGTGTGTGCGTGTGTGTGCGCGCGTGTGTGTGTGTGTGTGTGTGTGTGTGTGTGTGTGTGTGTGTGTGTGTGTGTGTGTGTGTGTGTGTGTGTGTGTGTGTGTGTGGTGTGTGTGTGTGTGTGGTGTGTGTGTGTGTGTGGTGTGTGTGTGGTGTGTGTGTGTGTGTGTGTGTGTGTGTGTGTGTGTGTGTCTGTGTGTGTCTGTGTGTGTCTGTGTGTGTCTGTGTGTGTCTGTGTGTCTCTGTGTGTGTGTGTCTGTATGATACTTGTGATGGAAGCATTGGCCTGCGCCGAAGTATCGCACGATCCAAATGAGCATAGGCCTCAGGGTGTTCTCGGAACAAGTCAGAAAGTCGGCCTCTTCTCAAACTTCCTTTACTTCAGAGTCTGCTGTTTTTTGCACGTGATTGTGCGGACTCAATCGCCATCTCTGAGAGCGCGGCACCAACAAGCCACCGAAGACGTAGGTCCTGAGTCCGCGTGCACGTATGTCTGATCGGGCTACATTTGTTCGGGTGTAAGAACCAGACAGTACCTCGCTCTTGATTAAATCTGTGACGAAGAGCTTGACCTTTGGCTCGTTGCCACACAAGACGCGATGAGGCAAACGCAGACAAGGAAGGACACATGCACGCACGTGCACGCTCGCACGGAGAGCAGCAGCGCTAGATGCCAATGCTCCAAGAGGGGGGGCATCCCTTGTTTTTGTTACATATGTGGTAATCAGCGATGACGAGCAACTGGTACAGCTGCACGCTGCAGAATAGAGGGTTGGTTCCCACGCATGGATCCGTCTACGCCGTCTCAATATCCCAGAACTTCACACTGATCCCAGAAAGCAAGGACTCCAATTCAACGGATCGACAGACAGTACCGACGATAGTCGGGATGCTGCTGTGGCCATGCTAGTGCTTGCAAGAATGGGAGATATGAGTGCCAATAGCTGCTCCTCTTTGCTGTCAAAAGACCTGCTTACAAACAGAAAAGCATGGTAAAGCAGCCGTTGATGGAGAACGTCACGTCGATAACTGTTACACATTCGTTTATCACCTTTGCCGGCATGTCCTCTCCATACTTAGTAGTTTTTGCGCAGGACAACCATCGATTTCAGTACGAAAAATTCGCCTTTTCATTGTGGTTGAAGGCCAATCCCGAGGTCACCGCCGTTTGGAGGCTTTGCGAGGCTTCCTCGTTCATGAAAAAAACAAAGCCTTTTTTTTGAAGGCAAACTTTCCCTCTCAAAACAGGCTCAGAAATGGTCTGGCAGAAGCCTAGCAAGGCTCAGAAATGGTTTGGGAGAAGCCCGAAAAGGTGCTCAGAAATGGTCTGGGAGAAGCCCAAAAAGGCTCTGAAATGGACTGGGAGAAGCCCAAAAAAGGCTCTCTGAGAGAAGCTCAGACATGGTGTAGCAGGAGATTAGATAACAATGCACGTGCAAAGCAACCACCAGGTCACAGGAGCAACAGGAAACATCAACAACGGGCCGCGCACACACACACACACACACACACACACTTAGGTAACCATCCTGACAGCCAATGCTGGTACCTCCGATCTGCGAGCCACATCAGCTTAGACAGGCTAAGCCTGCTGTCACTGAAGTACATCAGCTGATTGCGAGAAAAGGACTGGGGAAAGCCCGTCATCTCGACGTTGATCTATTATGGATTCAAAGTATCCCAAGGTTCATCATCAAAGCGATCAAAGGAAAGGACAACCCAGCTGATCTGGGAACAAAGAGCTTGAGCAAAGACAAGATCAGGGAGTACATGGCAAGCCTTGGATATGTAGGAGAGTTTGTTGATCAAGAAGAAGTTGCAGGCAATGGCCAAGTGAGAAGATTGAACGGCAATGGCCGAGCCGGCAATGGCCGGAAAGTGAGCGAAGGGAAGCTGACAAAGATCATTCAAGCCGTCACCATGGGTGTTCTCGTAGCCTTAGGTGAAGCGAAGAAGTTCGGCGAAGGAGAAGAAAATGCAAAAGGCGAAAGATTAACGTTGTGCATGAGAGTCTTGATTGTGTTGATAGGATGCGCATGTTGTTACTTGATTCCCGTCGCAGCCGTTTTGAGGATCAAGCTTTTGAGAGTAGAAAGAAAAGAAAGAAGAGAAGGAATGGCTGAAGAGCATTCCGAAGTGATGGAGCAGCGGGTTGAAGAGCTCGCAGAAATGAGACAAGGAGCAATGGCTCGAAGGGAGAATTTGCTCCAGGAGAATGCTCCTGACGAAGAAAAGAAGGAGAATGCTCCTGAGAAAGAAGAAATGCTCCTGAGAAAGAAGAAGAGAAAAATGCTCTTGAGAAAGAAGAAGAGACGCAGGAGGAAAGCGAAGAAGAGGAGAGCAAAACCGACGATGAGTACTCCTCGAGTTCCTCCAACGAGGCCGAAGGGCCAAAACCCTCGAAGGCTGAGAAGCCAAAGGATCCTGAAGAGAAAAATGGAGAAGAAGGTCAGAAGGACCAGGAGGAGTTGGTGCTTTGCGAAGACTCACTGTACCTCTTCTTAGGAGAGGAAGGCCTCTGGAAGGGTATTTCAAACAGGTGTTGACATTGAAGAGAACTATGAAAAGGAACATTTGCATCGGCAAATTGGGTCCTGTCTGCCATTTGCATCTAATCTTGCTGCCTCAGGGGGCCAGCTTTGCAGGTACACAGTTCAGCGTCCTGAGCTGCTTCCCACTCCAAGGCATAGCTTCATTGCGGGTTTGCCAAGGAGTGCCCAATGCCCTTGCTCAAAAGAAGAAACACCCTTGGTTACAGGGTTGGGCACACACACATGCACACACGCACACAGACACAAACAAACAAACACACACACACACACAAGCACACACATGCAGCCGCTGGAACGAGTGGTCTCAACTCAACTTTGAAACAGGCGAGATGCTGTCATCTTGTTGAATCCGTGCTTCTCCTTGCACAGATGTCCATCGTGTGTTGCCCGTAGCAAGGTCTAAAACACTATTGGAGGTCGACGCGTGAATCAAGCCACAGTCAAAGACTTGCTTCAGTCCTCCACTATGAAGTTGGAGTACAATGAGAAAGGTATGCTGATGGGCTTCTCAACCTGGGCTGGGCGGGCTGGGGAAACGCTCCATCATCTTTGCACATCGTTGCTGAGAGAGCCCTGTGGATCCGACCCACTGCAGCAAGAAGAGCCAGAAGAGGGTGCAGCTATACTCTGCCTGAAGCTGCGAGAAATGGGTTGCAGAGGAGTTAATGAGTCAATTGGCCCCAATCTACACGAAAGCTTGCCAACCTCCTCGCCACAGACAGCAACCTGAAGTTGGCGATATCTCGCGCACTTGCTCCAGGCAACGCAACGCAACAACGCAATACAACGCTAAGCACATCTCTGCATAGTGCCACAGCCATGGGGTAATGAGAAACAACTGCACCTTGAGCGCGAAATGAGGCTTAGGTTCCGAGCAGAGCAACACCGCAAGCATCTGCAAGCCTTATCATAGACGAAGCTCACCCAGTCTTTCACAAAACCGAAGAGGCGCTTGTCCTTCTGGTATGCCTGGCGAGATCAATGACACCAAGCCCAGTACAAGCCTTCCAGGATTCTAGCTTGCAAGTGGGCACGCCCACGATACGAAGGCGCCCACTTAAGGCGCCCCGCGCGCATTTTCACAACAAAGAAACCACAAACCCGGTAGCCCTCTTACCGCAACTCTTCCCCATGATGAGGCCATAAACCCAAATCTTCTCTGTTTTGCCGGGCATGTAGATGTCCGCTACAAAAGATGCGCTTTCTATGGGCGTCCAAGGGCTTTGATTTGACCAAGAACAATCAGTCACCCACCCGTCAACAGCAGCCATGCAAGAAGTCATGCAAACAGCTATGCAAACAGCTCTTGCTGCGCCCTCCTGCGATTCCAAAAACTTCGACTCGTCGACTACACCTGCAACGCAAAGGCGGGAACGCTTGAACGAAGAAGAGTGTAACAAGAGCCAACATTTGCGCTCAGATGTGTGAGAGTTGAAACTACGAACATTCGCAGCCAAACTTTCAAGCTGTTCTCCGACGTTTTCACGCCTTTGAACTCCTCCGGCACGGCAGTTTCCTTGTTCCTTACTCCCATGGCAAATGACAACATGCCTTTCTCTACATGAACATGGGACACGCACCCCCTAACACGGCACGGCAGAGGACAACTGCCAGACGAATTACGATAGCGAAGACAAATCAGCCCATAGTCGCGAAGGGACATCCACGTCTTTAGAGATGCAGCATCTAAGCTTGCACTAAGCTTGCGCTTCGGAATCGTCAATTCCCATCTGAGCAGCCTGCTTCTGCAGTTGTCTCACTTCAAGATACTGCTCAAAGAAATGTAGGACCTCAACAGCTTGAAGGAGCGCTGGCAACAAAAAGGCAACATAAGGCAACACTGCAGAGCAAAGGCAGATCAGTCCGGTGCGTGATTTTTAAATTGCACTGTATGCCCTTACATAATTTTCCATCCCATCAAACCCTCTGGAATACTTTCGACCTTCAAGTTGTTTGACTCACAAGAGAGGTCGGACATTACAGTGACTGACGAGAGGGCTGAATGGGCTGAGCACCCTGCTGACGAGAATGCCAAGAACCCCCAGACGTACGGCCTCCGAACATTCATTGCGGAAGCGCATGTCGAAGATGTTGCCCAGAGAATGTCCGCAAGAAACAGAGAATGCCAATGAAAGATGCTTTGGCGCACCCTCCCACTGAAGGGATGGCCTTGGCTAGCAGGATCTGACTCCAAAGCCCTGCCATCAACTTGGCATCAATTTGCCATCTGCAAAAGCTGAGGTGGAAGCCATGCTCCGCGGCGAGCACCTACAGCTGCCGCCCTTCCCAGCAACTGGAGCCAAGATGTCGCCGTTATGTCGCCGTGGTCATCGGTTTGTAAAGAAAGGGTTCAGTCAGATCTGTTGGACATTCGCACGGGGCCTGGAAGAAGATGTGAGTACAGCCAAAGGCTACCCAAACGAAGAAGAGAGGGCTGCTTCAAAGTGTAGCATCTTGGAATCGCCAAGACTCTGTATCTGCCGCTGTTTGCCACAGTGGAAACGATGGGCCGGAAGCGCAGCACGTTGGTTGATGGGGGCTGGGTTGGCCCACAAGTCAATGCGCTTCTTGAGGCTTCCAATACGAATTACTCTTCAGTCGTGCTTGGGTAAACAGCGTTGAGCTGATTGCATAGTCTCGAAACCTAAGCGGCTCCCAAAACTCCACTTCACGATGCCTACTGCTGTATGTCCCTCATCATACCATCTAGTACGAGGGGCGACTTCAGTCACATCAGCCTGTGCGAAGATGTGCGAAGTCATAGCACCCTACAGGCCTGCCTGAACGGCCAGCGGCACGAACGGTGTCTTTGCAGCGACGTGCGCACTCTCACCTACAGATTTCTGAGCAAGATACAAGACGTTGTCTGTGTGTGCGTGCACGTGCATGCATTTGCGTGCATTTGTGCATGTCCAACGCAGGCTCTACAGTTCCCCGCCGCGGATTAATTACAACAAACACTCTTTCAGTCACGACAAGACTAAGCTCATTTGGACATGGGCCAAGGTTTCGATTCGTGAACAAATGGGCAACCCGTCATCTCATGGCTTATGGGCAGAGTGCAAGTTGGCCAAAAGACAGAAAAGCTCGAGGCTTGGAACGACATGTTCGTATTTGCTATATTCTATAGCTCATGGTTCTGAAAAACGAATGCAATGGCCGGCTACCAATTCTGAGACAGATATGTCAAAACACAGAGCGAGGGGGGCTCGGTCCAGTCATGCTTCTTCCTGCATGTCCTATACCGTTGCACTTTGCACACGCTTGCCGTACCCTGGTCGGTCCTGCATTCAGTATGTCTCAGTATGACACGCGGAGCACAATTTTGGCTTTTTGCTTTGCTTAGCAGCAAGCCGTGATGCTGGACGAGGCGGGGGAGTCACCTTAAGCCAAGAGCTAATGTCGCGCTGCCTGGGCACCCACTTCGACCTCGAGTCGCTACGTTGTCAAGAATGGCCCTGCCATTCCTTTGGCAGGCTTTCGCAGCCTAGAGTAGGCGTGCACACCGGCCAGGCCTTGGCGGTCTTCACCTAGGGTGGTCGCTTGTATCTGGCACACGTCTCCCATCTAAGGAACTTTGCCTAGGTCTCCATCCCAGAAACTTTGTCTGGGTTTCTATGGACAAGATTTTGGTCAGGCTGGGAGTGCCAACCTCTAATCAGGGTGCACGATATGCTCGCGCAGATTTTGTTCATCTGTTTCGTGTGCCTCAAGCGGGCAGGTGGTGACCTGACAAAAGCTGGGCGCACATTAGAACAGCTGCAGAGAGATGGCCCTGCAGGAGCGCACCCGAGTCAACCAGCTACCTGTGAAGCCCAAGCCTTGGCTGTCAGAGGAGCTCTAGAGAACCAACGAATCGTTTCTTAGAAGATATCACTTGTCAACTGAGTTAGCTGAGCCTGTTGCCACAGATTTGTCTGTCAGGAGGTGCTACCTTGACACATGCTCAATGCCACAAGGCATCCCTTTTCTTTTGGACATCACTCATTGGCAAGGCACAACTCGTTCTTGCGTTCTGTTCACATGGCTGCCCTTGCACTTGTCTGGGCTAGGGGCAAATCTTCGAGATCGCGATGCCTCAAACATGCACAACTGCCGACAGACTTGCTTCCAAGCGTGGCCATGGCCTGCATCCCTCGAAACTCAATGATGTTGCCTGGCGTTCAGCGCTATTCGTCGTTGCTTCGGGCGGGCTGGAAGACTGGCCTTTAGATGTTAGAAAGGCGAGTGAATTGCCCAGATATGCATCACGGCGATCTTGCTCGACTAAGAGCACGTACCTGCCGGTCGGTGCAGAATTCCTCAAATATCCTCAAATCCTGGGAAACCGGGTAGGCCCATGGTCCATGTAGGCCCTGCGCTCATCAGCGTCCAGCTGCCAGGGCCCCACCGGGTAGCCTAACAAACAAGCCCGCATGGCGAAGCGCTCTCTCCTTTGACACGTCACGTGAGTGCACTTCATGTGCACAAGCACCTCCTTCGCAACCATAGCGGCGCGTTGAGCCGTCCCTCAACCTGGCCATGTGCTCACATGAGCTGCCTGGTTTGAACCAGGCTCTCTCGGTGATGAACGGAGCTGGGATAGTGGCTGAAGTACCAGCTTATCCACAGCAGATCCTCTCGTCCAGACATGTGCATGGTCATATGATTTTGCAGCACGCTATCAGATGCGCCTACATGTCCACTTATCTTGGCGATTGCCATGTCGCCTGGCACATGGTTCCCAACTCGGCAGATGAGTCTACTTCGTGGTTCTTGGACCTCCGTTAAGAGGAACTCGCTCCAAGTAGATGCCAGTGAGATGGCTCCTGGCAACCAAAGCGACGACACTTCTGAGATCTTTTAAGATTGTGTATGGCTGAACAAGGCAGCAGCGCCCCTCAAATTGCAAGCCGGTGATTTGGCTTCCAATGGGCCTGAGGCGGGCATTGCATGCAAAATTGTCAACTGTGTCCGCACCCTTTCACATGTCAGCACTGATTTAAGATGGCTTACAGCAAGGGCAGGCAACAGGCCCCCTGCGCCATCAGCCGTGTCCTGCTCGTGGCATCCTGGCCCTGAAGAGCAATGATCTGACACCTTAGTGCATGTTAAACTCAGCGTCCGCCGGCAACACGCAGTTGTAAGAACACGACTCGGAGGTGTAGAACACCAGGCTGTTTCCAACAAACCTCGTCCACACAAGCCGTTTTTTATGATCCCAGCGCACTCAGGATGAAATTCCTGAGCTTGAGCTCTTGACGAGTCTCGCTCCTGCTGCGTCACCGCCAGGATGATTTCATCATGGTGCAATTTGCTCGATTTGTGTTGGAAGCCGCCTGCAGCCACAACAGATACATGCAGGTAATTTCAGGTACATTGACACACATGTACATGTGAGTATATGTGTGTGTAGTATGCACATACACGTGTACATGTACAGCTAGCAGAGATGGTGTATGTTTTACAAATAGACGTGCTAGCCCCCGACCCCAAACCAACATTTGGCACAAATTATATGCTGGACGCGATTTGAACTTCGAACGCTCTGATGTTCGAAGCTCTGGCTGGTTGAAAGCCAAATATTCCCCGAATGCCTGTGTAGGTTTCGAACTTGATGAGGAAGGGTGCCGTGCTCAATGTGGGAACGGCTTTGAAGTTAGAAAAGCGAAAGCCGAAGATGGAGAATGCTGAAGAAGCTCTTGCCAGCCTTCAAGAAGTAAATTCTCATACCCGCCATCACGGCTGTTTGTGTTTGGGGGGTAGGATCGACCGATCCATAAAACTCGTAGGCTCGATCCATAAATCATCCTACATACCCATCCTTTCTGTGTATGTATGTGTACATCTTTGTATATGAATAGCGAGTTGTCGAGCGATATATGTCTGCACTTGACTTGTCTGGTCGGCCTTGCTGCCCGTAGAAAAGCTTCTTGCCTGGGAGGGTCAAACTCGGCTTCGTTCGGCCGCTTGAAGTTGCAGCAAGACTTTGTGCAAGGCAGAGCATTGCAAAGCAGTGCAAAACACATTCCTGACGAATGCCAAATCTGAGCCTTGCTAGGTTCGCCGGAACCGGACGAACGGAAATGGCCCTGCTTGGCTTGACATCAACCTCCTTGTCCATGGCCGGGAAACACGCTGTGATCTTTATTGCGCAGTGATCACGGTTTTGGCGTCTTGCCTTAGGACGTGCGCGCGCGCGCGCGACCCAGCAGGAGCAAGCTCTCGCCGCAGAATTGTTCAGTCACCAGTAGGCGCTTCACAGGCGATTGATGAGTGCGTTTGTCAGACGGTCTCACCAGTGCCCCGCCCGGCACCCCTTGCATCTGTTAGATGGCAAATGGTGGAATATAAGGAAACTACTCCCTTAAGACCTTGCTGGTCGTCCACACAAACACAAAAACAAGCACAAACACAACACACCACACACCACACGCCACGCGCCACACAGACACACAGACACACAGAGACACACAGAGACACACAGAGACACACAGAGACACACACACAGAGACACACACACAGAGACACACACACACAG